AAAAAAAAAAAACTGGCACTAAAAAGACTCAGAAGCCACAAATCTCATAATCCATGTAATTTTTGACAGCATAAAGGGTAAAACTTCTTTATTCAGAAGATGCAAGTTGGTAGATGGGGGAAGAATCATAAGCAAAAGATTAATACTCTCAATATGTGGAGAACTCCTAGGAATCAATGAGAAAATAGCCAGGTAGTCAAATAGAAAATATATAAAAAATACATATAGGCATTTCTCAGAAGGAATTGTAAAAAAGAAGCATAAGTTTTCCCATAATTGCTAAAATGCAATGAGAATTGCTTTTCAATTCTCAGACTGAGATGATGAAATAAGTTGTAAAAGTAGAAATCATCCCTTCAAAATTCCACTATATACCATCATAATCACAACAAAAAAGGAGGGAGAGGGTGGGGAAAGGACGAGCAGAGAGAGGGAAGGAGGGAGGGGGGCAGGGTCGTGGTGTGTGGCACACCTTTTGGGGTCAAGGCACAATTCTAAGAGGGACTGTACCTAACAAATGCAATCAGTGTAACCTGGTTTCTTGTACCCTCAATGAATCCCCAACAATAAAAAATAAATAAATAAAAAATAAAAAAACAGAAGCACACATCCTCTGTACTTTAATGAAATTATTAAAGGTGCTGAGAATTCTATAAGAAAAAAAAACTCATTTTTTTCAAGAAAGTTTAAATGTTAAAAGACAAAATAACTCAAATAAATACAGTAAGACTACATAGGCTACATACTCAAAAAAAAAACAAAAGAAAAATTACTTTTCTTAAATATCAACCCTTGGACATGCTATATGATAAAGATCACACTGACTCTCTCCCATTCTGATTTTCATTGTCTATTTTTATTTCTCAGTCTCCTAACTAACCAATCATGCTGTTTCTACATGATTCTTGGGGAACATTTCTGATATTTTCACCATACCAAACATATGCTAGTATCATAACTCAGTTAGAAACACATTTACCTAGAGCAGAAGGATTGAATGTGCTTTCTACTTTGGAAGTTACAGACATCATTGTTTCTGTCCTTCCCAAGACATGATTATTACTTTTAAATGATTTATGGCTGAAATTCTGCGAGATGGGGCAAAGACCCTGTGCCAAATTCCCATGTGATGTATTAACATAAGGCAAACTGTGGAAAACTTGTAAGTGTGGGTAGATCAGTTTCATCAAAGAAAGGAGCTAGAGGGTTCCAGAGACTGAACAGGAAACTAGGCGGATAACTTTTTACAGTCATGTAATTCGAAAGCAGCGGTAATGAATAAAATTCTGCTCCTGAATATATAATAATGATGTGAATATAAAGATGGTGAGAAAGAAATTAGACAGAGTTGATTTGGGACACTATAAATCAACCCTGTTTATTCATCTGTTAATCTGCCCTTTAGTTTTCTTCATGGACTAAAACTGAAATTCATGTAATCACTGTTTAGATAATTTCAAAAGAGATAAAATCATTTCACTGGAAAGTCTCTATAAATATTGAAGTGCCTATAATCTCTATGGAATATTACAAGTGCAAAAATAAGTAACAAGGTATTTTTTTTAAATTATAGACATTTATTTAATAGCATGGTAAAATATATCAACCAAAATCACTAAGCAAATATCTGTCAATTCACAATTATATATGCACAAGTATTCCTAAGAACTTTTGACCAATCTCTTGAATTCAATTCAATTATTTATTATCTATACAAAGATCACGGTAAAACTAATACATTCTGAAGAAAAGGTACAGTATGTAAGAAATGAAAAATAAAAATTGACAGAAGAAACTAAGAGATTCTAACTTGAAAAGAAAAGTTAGGTCACACAGAATAGAGGCAAAAAATCATGATGTTCTTATGCAGGCAATATAAGAATTAAAAGCTAAACAAATAGGGTGAGGTCCCCATGTAAAGAACTCTGAATGACAGAAGGTGTACACACTATTACATGTACAGGCACTGGAGATCTACTTATAACATTAGAGAATGAGAGTGGATATACTAGACTTATGCTTTGGAACAATTCACCATGTAGCATGGATTGTAGTAAGAAGTGATAAATACCAAGAAGAAAGAGATGACTATGAAGGGGAAGAGATACTATAAAGGACAGAGTCTTTATAATTTGGATTCTAATTTTTTTTTTTTTTTTGCAGTTTTTGGCCAGAGTTGGCTTTGAACCCACCACCTCCAGCATATGGGGCCAGAGCCCTACTCCTTTGAACCACAGGCACTGCCCCTGGATTCTAATTTTATAAAGGGACCAAGACTGGATAAAGAGACTGAAATAATCATACAATTCTGCCATTGACAGAAAGGGGAAACTCCAAAAGAGAAGTTGTCTGGGGAAAGAGAATGAAGAAGTCATTCTGGGCATACTAAATTCATCATGTCAAAAAGATGTCCATGGGCGGCGCCTGTGGCTCAAAGGAGTAAGGCGCTGGCCCCATATGCCAGAGGTGGTGGGTTCAAACCCAGCTCTGGCCAAAAAAAAAAAAAAAAAAGATGTCCAGTTATGTACCAAGTAAGCAATTAAGAAAATAAACATTTGGACTTCATCAGCCTGGAGCAAATAGCAGAAGTCATGGATAAAGTTGATGTATCTTAGGGAGAGGGAACACAGAAGAGATCCCCAGCCCAGGCAGCCAGGAAAACCTCCTGGGGAGGAAGAGAAATCAAAAACATTGGAAGACCTTGGCAGAAAAACCCAGCAAATTATACTATGAGGATCCAAAGACAAAGAATTTCAAAAGGTAATATAGACAAGAGTGTCAAGCTTTATGGAGAGAAGGAAGAGAATAAATATTTCACAATTAGCACAACCCCATGGCCCACAAGCTGATGTAGCGGCTGAGAGTTTGGAAGCACGAGACGTTTGCCTATGAGGACAGTCTCAGTAGGGAATGGAACACAGAAAGGAGGCCGTGAGGAGCCACTGCCCGAGTGAGCGGATACAACAGGGGAGATCTGCTCCAACTGTTCTCCTATATACGTATCGTGTGCCCCAGATAGACCAAAACTCATTCAAAAGATAAACAATTGGAAATCATATCAGCAAATTAATAAAAAGTAATTTTAATAATTTTTACCTTCTTGTGATTCTTGTAAACATTTCTGTGGGCAAATCCCTTTCCGCAAAGCTTGCATTTGTAAGGTTTATCTTCGCTGTGGATTACTTTGTGGGCACCAACTTGATCCAGCCTCTTGAAAGACTTATTACAAATTTCACAATTATAGGGTCGTTTTTCTGTGGAAAATGAGAGGAGATAATCTCATATCCATATAAATGTAAAGGAGAAAAATAGGAAACATCCTGACCTTACATTACTTCTTATAGATAAGTAAACTAAAGCTTGATCAAACAACTAAAAAGAATCTACTACCCAGGCCATCTGTGTCAGGAAAGATGAAATGTGAGCTCTTTCTCTTACAGACCTAGTTTGTAAACTAAATGTACAGCTTAGATATAGAGAAGTACAGCTTAAATATAGAGAAGTTTAAATTCAAGAAAGAAGTCCTATTTCCAGATGAAAAATGTGCTGATCTGTGTGAGTAAATCATAGTTACAGCTCTGAACGCCAGGAGTGGCCTGACAGTAAAAGGGAAAGGACAGAGCTGCCTCCTGCTGGGCTGCCTGAGCCCTGTGGAGGGACAGCTTTCCATGCTCAGCAGGGACTAGACATCTAGACCGGCACGTAAAGATCCTTACTTATTTAATAGTCCTGTAATATTAAGGACTAAATAAAAATGTGTATAAATACAGCATACTTGAAAGCCAACAATTTTTTTGATCTCTGATTTTAACTTAACCAAAATACCTTTCTCTCCAAACAAAGTGGATATTCAAAAACATGAGTTCAGTGGCCTCAAATTATAGATATCCTAAACTCTAAAAACATAATCCATGTAGCAAAAATTATTTTCAAAGCTGACTTTTCTTAAATTTGCATAAATAAAACAAGACATATTACCCAAACGTGCTTAAAAGGAAACCATGGCTCTGAAAAGTTATACTGTTAAAATATATTGATAAAGTTCTCACTAAAACATTTATTAATACCTTAGAATGTAAAAGCATCTAGAAACGTTGGAACTATAACTGTTGAATCTCAGTGAAGTGTCAGACACCATGCGGCACAGTCCATAAAGGATCTCATTTAACCATCATGGCTATTCTAAAGGCAGGCACCAATATCCCATCACAGAGTAGCTTAGCTATAGAGAAGTTTAAGAAACTGAGGATCGGCTCGGCACC